ACCGGACGTTTTTATTAAATTAAAACAACGGTTTTTCTAAGTCAAGTAACGATTTTTCACGGTAGCACCCCGAAACAGTTTTCGCAAAGTAAAAAGATTTATTTTTCAAATACTTTGCGAATTATTGCGCTACTCTGATTTTACAGTAAGGTGGGGTGTTACAATTGGTATCAGAGCACGTTTCTGCGTCTCTGATAAGTTTTTCAGTCAGTAATTTTTCAGAAAAACCCGAACCGTCATGCTCACGCCCCGCCGACGACAGGTAAGTGCTGTTGCAATTCAGTTTTTCAGTTATTATAAACATATTACTTTGTCTATGCTCAGAATTGAGGATCAGGACTTTAGTTAAGATGCTCGAATCAGATTCAGACCTTAAAGTGTGGACATGACTCTAGAATTCAGGCATTCAGATATGACTCTAGACGTTAGGATTTTCCGAGATGACTCTAGAGTTCTTCAGGTTTCATGTCAGTAATCAGCAGTCAGTTTTGGCAACTCGTCAAGAGATCTGTGTGCCTTAGTAATCAGTCAGTAATGCTATCGCATATTCAGTAATGTTAAAATTTTTTCTCGATGTTCAGATACCGCCCCGTAGGGAACCCGATTACTCAGTTTTTATTCAAGCCACAGTAGTCGCACAGTTCCGCGACTATCATGTTGAGAAATTCTTCGGCCGAAGAAATCCCCGTATCAGGGGCAAGTGAATTCAGAACCGTAGAAAAGGATTGAGATTAAGAACTCTAGATTCAATTCTAGACTTATTCAAGTCAAGTTAGTATCTTGTCAGAAGAATTGTAAGCATTGTGCTAAGCAAATCTTAAGAATCATGTTCCTCAGAAATTTTTATCGAGAACTGCCATTTTGTCAATCAATTGGCAGACTTCAGAGAGAAATTCCTTGATTTAATTCGAAGAATAGACTCAAAGTTCCTAAGTCAGATCAGTAAGTCATGTTCAAGGCCAGAATCTTCATGTTAAAGGTTGTTATAATTCTCAAGTCAATGTTAAGGTAACGGTTTCCAGTGTATAAGAGTCAATAGTCCGGGTTACCATGGAGGCTTGAAATAAGAGCCACTCAGCCGGGTATACCATGGAGGCTTGAAGCTGGGGCCGAATCAATAAGATTTCAGGTAATAACAACCTTTCAAGTCAGTCATGTCAGATATTTTATCAGTCATGCTATTTTAAGTTATGACTTTCAGAAGTCAAGATCAGCTAATTACTTTGTACTTGCGGGACCAGTTGATACTGGAGCAGCCCTATACAGTACAGAGTTCAGGTTCACAATTTACAGAGTATGTTCATGATATAAGG